GACAACCCATTTCACAGATAAAGAGGCTGAGAGGCTCAAAAAGAGTAAAGAGCTGCCTGAGGTCACTCAGCTGATACAGGACAAAATGGATTCTGCCCTGGTTTGACACTAAAGGTTGTGTTTGTCTCCCCCAGTTTGACTACCTTGCTTCTGGCCCCTGCTGGCGGGACAGCCAAGGCACTGTAGCATGAAAGAGAATCATAGTCAAAGAAAATAGAAAGAGTAGCTGGGAAGATGTGTCCAGTCAGGGTATAAGGTCCAAGGAGATTTGATAAATTGGGGGTGCATCTGGGAAACTGGGAGGAGCCTGGTGCACAGCAGTGGCTCAGAATAACCCTGGGCATGGCTGGGAGGAGGTAGCGGGCCTGCTTTTGTATCATGAGAGCTGCCTGGTGCCAATGCTGACTGACAGCTTACAGGGTTGCGTGGGGTTGGGCACCTACATTGTACATTATCTGGACTGTGTAATCGTGAACGGAATTTATGATTTAACTAATTTGACAGTGAAGTTGTGCCACACTCTTTACCGTCTTTTATACTTGGTGACCCCTCCAGTCACTGCAGATCCAGCACCTTGGATGGATTTTCAGAGCTTCCTCACTTGGCTGGCTGGGGCTTGGCTGGCGATCTGCGGCCATCTGCTCAGGCTGCAAAGCTCTTTGTTGCTTTTGGCATGTTTAATAGCTTAATTTCTATTTTTCTGTTTGGAAATGCAGTTCACCAGCATCGAGGCTGCAGTGGGTGCTAAAATGGTTTCTGATTGCTATCTTGAATGTTAATATCCGAATACATTTTATCATGAATGACCTGTCCTCCCTGCCACGAGTTCTCACTCCCCTTTTGCAAAGATGGGCATGCTGCCTGCCTGTGGATAGGCCCCGGAGCCCATGTCATTCCTTTGCTCTCTCCCTCCCTGCTTTACACAGATAGCATTGTACTTTGCCAATAAAGTCTGCAGTCGTGGGAAATCTTTGAGTTGAAGGATATGAGAAAGTGTTTCATTTTGCCGGCAGGGTTTACTAGGGATGATCTAATCTCTAAAAGGCATACATTATTTAAATTCCATGCTTTTGGGCAAGAGGGCCACTGATATTTGTGAACTTTGGCAGGGAGAAGATTCTGGTGCGGCTCTGTTCAGTAGAGCCAACTGTGGGTCTTCCTGACTGTCATTCACTGCAGGGGCCGGTGGGGGTCAGCTCTGGCGGTGAGAATTCCGGGGAATGTTTTCTTTACCCAGAAACTTAAAATCACGGACTCTTGGGGAGAAAGGAATGAGAAAAGGCAGCATGTGGAATTCTCAGTTTGTTATTTGGTTCCCATCTGGATTTAAAACTGAAGATCCCAAACTCAGATGAGCAGCTCCCACAGGGTGCCCGAGGGCCAATGCAGGCCTGCTCACGGCACTCCCTCACTCCTGTGCCCACGGAGCACCTCAGCTATCACCAGTGGCCTCTCCCACGGGGCACTGAAGAGTCTTGTGGATGAAAATGAAATTTTGAGGGAAACCTTAAGCTCTCTCAACCATTAGAGGCTGAGGCAGGAGACAAAATGGGGCTGAGGAGTGGCTCTGGGAGCCTCCTGAATTGTGTGTAGGGTGAGACGCTGGGTGAGTCCAGAGAACACCCTTCCAGCTGAATTGCTTTGTCTCATGGGGACATGTGGTGCTCCTGGTATAGCCGCCTTGTCTTTCCTCTCTCCTTGTTCAAATGTCATTCTAGTAGAGATCACATGCCTTCCTTCCTTCCTGGGGATGGAGGCTTGGGAGAGTGAATGAGCCCAGAATAGACCCTGGAAGTTCTGAACACAGAGCCTTTTCCCACCTCCACGGGTGTGCATTGGATGTTTCCTAAGAGGCAGTGACTAAGAACCAGGCGTGCAAATCTGGTTATCTTACCTTCTGTCTAGCAGGGCAGAGAGATAGATGGACAATGTATTACAGCTTAATAGGAGCCATATCAGGGTTCTCTAGAGGGGCAGAACTAATAGGATATATGTATATATTAAGGGGAGTTTATTAGGAAAATTGACTCACAAGGTGAAGTCACAAGGTGAAGTCCCACAATAGGCTGACTGTAAGCTGAGGAGCAAGGAAGCCGGTCCACGTCCCAAAACCTCAAAAGTAGGGAAGCCCACAGTGCAGCCTTCAGACTATGGCTGAAGGCCCAAGAGACCCTGGCAAATCACTGTGTAAGTTCCAAGAGTCCAAAAGCTAAAGAGCTTGGGGTCTGATATTTGAGGGCAGGAAGCATCCAGCACGGGAGAAAGATAAAGGCTGGAAGACTCAGCCAGTCTAGTCCTTCCAATTTCTTCTGCCTGCTTTATTCTAGCCACACTCGCAGCTGATTGGATGGTGCCCACCCAGATTGAGGGTGGGTCTGCCTCTCCCAGTCCGCTGGCTCAAATGTTCATCTCCTTTGGCAACAGCCTCACAGACACACCCAGGAACAATGCTTTGCATCCTTCAGTCCAATCAAGTTGACACTCAATATTAACCATCACAGGAGCCATGAGGAAAATGTGTCTGGTGTATTGTGGGAACACAGATGAGGGGTAATTAATTCTGACTGGGCATATCTGGATAGATTTCAGAGAGGTGATAATTGACCTTGACTTTGAAGGAGGGGGAGATACCCACCAAACTGACTCTTCTGAAGTAATTCTTGCTGAATGCGTGCCTGCTCTTTGCTGGGGATGGTGAAAAAGAGGGGGATAGTGGTTCCTGCCCTTGAGAAATTCACAGCTTGCTGGGGAGAGAGGCTGGCACTCTGAACCAATGAAAGCTCTGTGTAGACAGATGGAATTGTGGAGGCGGAGAGGCTAGCGGGGGACTTGCTGATCCAGGGTTTCCAGAGTTACTACGCTCTCTTATGGAGAGAACATAGTTTCTGTGAGGATAGTTCAGTCCTTGCAAAGATGTCTTTAACTACAAGAGGCCCAGCCCTCTGGCTTTTGCCCTAGCATATTATTTCACCACCCTGGCTCTGCATATTATAAGTAGTTAGCTGGGTTTGAGGTAGGGAGGGAGGAAGGGCGCCTGTGCTGTTTCTCATGCCTTGGCATGCCTTCCCTTTCCTCTTCCCTTTGTTCCAATTTCAGGCTCATCAGATACTTTATCAGTTGTTCTCTGTCCTTCATCATTAAGCTGGATTCAGCATTGTTCTCCATTTTTTAACTCTGCAATGAGATGATAAGCGCTGCAAAGGCAGGAATAGTGTCTTCATGCTTCCCGTATTTCCCCTGGGAGCAGTTTGTGCGCTATCAAGAACATGGGTTTCTCCAGACAGGCTTGGCATTGAACCTCAGCGTTGCCACTTACCTTGGAATTTGGGCACAATTTCCATATCTGTAAAATGGGATAAGATGGGACTTTCTCAACATCAACATAGATGACATTTGATGTCTTTTGATGACATTTGGGGCTGAATGATTCTTTGTTGCAAGGGGTCATCCTATGCACTGTAGAACGTTTAGCAGTATCTCTGGCCTCCACCCACAGCTGCCAGGAGCAGCACTCTTCAATCATGACAAAACTATCTCCAGATGTTTGCCAAGCATCCCCTGTGGAGCAAAATTGCCCCCAGTTGAGAACCACTGGGACGGTGCTACCTATCGGGTACGCATCAGACCTCCCAGGACTGCATCTGGAACACAGTTGGCATTCAGTAAATGTTGATTCTCTTTCGTTCCTGATTCACCTAGCACTCAACACATTGTAGGTTGGTGAATTACATGGAGCTGTGTCTCTAGGTTTTAGCAGTTTGGGGTAGAAATATTGTGGAACTCGCAGGTTGCCCACACAATGCACTAACAAAGTCACTGTCATTTTCTTAATTGCAGATTGATCTGGAGCCAGAAGGAAGAGTGTATGTGATCATCGATCTCTCAGGGTCGTCGGGTGAAGGTAGGAGAGTGTGACCTCTCATCCCTGTTCTCTTCCATTGGCCCTTTGCCTTCTGGGTCTCTTCTTTCCCTCCTTGGCTGGGACACATGATAGTGACATTTAATTAATTGGCATCCTTTAAAGAAAAAGGTTATTTTGAAGATGCTTATGCCTGTGTACCAAAAGGGACCAGCCATCTGTTAACTTTGGTGGAGCAGAGGGAAGATTTTGGACTTACCACGTGAGGCCAATAACCGGGTGTTTCTGCATGCTGTCTGCAAGGCAGGCGGTGGGGCAGCCTCTCCCAGGAGGCTTGCGTGGGGTTTGTGTGTGTGTGTGTGGTGGGAAGGAAGTAAAGCCAGTTGGTCTAACGGCATTCAGAAATGAAACAAATAAGGTGATAAACTTCAGAATCTTCTTTACAGCTTGGATAGAAGTGCGACTTCTTTTACCAGCTCTTTACACAGGCAAAAGCTCTGCTCTTAAAGAGAAATAATGGGGTGAGGGAACATCTGCTCCCCACTGACTGATTAGACAGCGTATTACACCCTCTTCCTCTTACACCCTCTTCTTTCAATACTTTCTTTGCTCACCTAATACACTTAAGACCTTTGAAGGGTTTGCTGGGTGTTGAGGACTGAGCAGTCAAGGGAAGAAGGGAAGCCTAGAAAATAAAACCTTATCCAAATGGGAACAAGGAGATAGCAACCGACATAAGCTCTAAGGAAGATTTGGAATTGGGACCGAAATGTAGTTATTGTGGTCATCTTTGCTCTCCTCCTCCTCCATCTGTGGGCAGGGGGACACAACAGTTGGCTTTAATGCCATGGCAGGGTTATTGGAAGACCATGTGTAGTTCCTCTTGGCAGTGAGAAACCAATGATGTTTGAGGATTGTGTCCCAAAGGGAAAGATGGACACTCAGCTCTCCCAGCTCTCCTGTCTGGAACACTTGGGTCTTTCAGACATCTCCCAGAATACTGGGGAATCACAAGCTTGAAGTCACAGCCCCACACACAGTCTCTAGTTTAAGGCTTAGTGATGGAAGGAAGGATTACATGAACACATTCAAAGGAGTTAGTCAAATGATGTGCTTGACAGTGGTGCCTGATGATTTCCATTCAGCTAATTTATCACCCAATCTCAACAGGTATTCGACATAATTCAATAATTGTGTGTATATGAGGATTATAACAGAATTAAGCCCTCTTTTAATAGATCTCAATTATTTGGCATTGGTTTAAAACTTGAAAAAGCCTTCCAAAATTGGTTGCTTACATTTCCTGCTCTTTATTGCAATTACATTTTGGCATTTCCAACTTCCCTTCTCTGCTCGCAGCTCTGAACAGCCCAGAATAGAACCTGTTGTAGAAGATTTGAGGATTTAACAATAGTTCTGATGAAATATTGAAGACATACAAAAGGGCTTAAAGACAAATTAAATGAGCACCAGGGTACCCACCGCCCAATTAAGAAATAGAGCAAGCAGTGAGGGGAAGCTTTGACCTTGCTTTTAACATAGCAAGTGATCCACATTCAACAGACTTCAGGTTTTGCAGTGTGGCCTCCTGATTCTAGAAACTAGCGAAACATTTGATGGGCAAAATCAATCTCCTTTTTTCCTCACATAATCTGTGTGCAGTATGATAATTAATTAAATATGTATTTCCTGTGCCAAGATGCTGAGCAACCAATGGAGGCTGGGACTATTTTCTTTTTCTTTGACAAGATAAATGACTTGCAAAATTATAGAAGACACCCTTTTTTACATTAAAGGGAAAGAAGATGGACAAATGAATGAATAAATAAATCAGAAGCAACTGATTTTTTTCTGCTTCCTTCTACAGCTTATTGCATGTGAATAGCCAAAGCAGTTTTCACTGGGCTAAATTCTGAGTCTGTTTTTTTTAATCTCTTTCATCTAAAGAAAATAGAGTTTACTTAAGAAATGCTGACACATGCCAGAGTCTGTAAAGTGCTAGCATGTGTTGCTCTGAAGAAAGGAAGACATTTTTCTATTCTTTTTTTTTTTTTAATTGCTGTTCTTGGACTTGGGATCCTTTCTTTGGATGCTGGGTAGGACTTTCAGTAATCCCTTCTGAGAAGCTGCTCTTGCCGTTTGTGTTATATACATCTGTTCTCCCAGTCCTGTTGCTGGGACTGTGAGGGCTCCTAGTCTGGAGGTGGTTTTGGAAGGGTTGGGAGGGCAAGGGGAGGCCCTAGAGAATGAGAAACCACAACATTTCATACCTAAACCATGTGAGATGGGTCTGGGGTGAAGCAAGTTGCCACTACCACACTCCTGGATTTATAGACTGTGGACTTTCACAGATTCTTGTCTAAGTTTTCTTTTCTTTTCTTTCTTTAATGAAAATACCTAACTCTGCCTTCTGGGAAAGGGAGAGAGTTGAAATGGGGCACAGCTGAAGTTTCACCACTCCATTATTCTGCCATCAAGCATCCCTTCAGCTCCCATCTCTCAAATGCTGCAGCCCCATCAATGGAAAAAAATCCATTCATGGGAATTGCACAAAGTTTACAACACATGCAAATTCCAAGGAGCTCAGAGAGAGGTGTGGGGGTGAGATGGTGTGAGTGACTACACCCCCTTCTTCTAGGATGCGCCGAAGGATTCTTTTCCTTGCCCACATGCTGTTAGAAAGCCTGGGCGTTTACGTCTGCTAGAGCTGGAGCTAATGTTGATTTGTAACTAATAAAATTCCACTGCTTGCACATCCTGTGCAGTTCACTATAATGGAATTTGACCAGTGTGTGGTTTGGCTAAACCAGGCAACCTAACCCCAGATGTCGGGGGTGGGGGGGTTAGACTGGATGACAGTTAAGGTCATTTCTGGTCATGTGATTTTATCCTTTGGTACAATTTGAATGGACATCTGTCAGAGCTTTGGCTGAGGGCTGGCTAATATGTACACCAGAAAGGGGTTGAAAGAAATGGACTTGTTTTGATAGGTATGGTGCTAAGCACTTTACCTGCATTATACCACATAGCAAACCTACTCAAAATGCTCTTGTGGGAAGCTCCAGTCTCAGTCCGTGTTTTGCTTATGTTGTAAGTAATAATCACAGGGGTTCTGGTGAGCATGGCACTCTAGGCTCACCAGATGCTTAAATCAAAGCATAATTAGCTCAGGTAGCAGAAGCGTAAATAGCAATGTAATTCTCACCTGTGCAAATGATGGTTTCCTGCTGTGCCCATTTGTTAGTGTTTCTTCTTTTAATATGATGTAATTTGCATATTATTTCTTATTCTTTCTAATAATGTGGCAAAGCCCCATGATTTGCAGGCTTACAGATGAGAGACAGTCGGGGCCTGACCTGGGGACCGATAGGTTCTTCTTCCCATGCCTTCCATTCCAGGTGTTGTGCTCATCTGGGAGAGTTCTTCAATGTCAAGAGCAATGACAAGTAGGCCTCACTGGCATGTTTGGATCACCACCCTGTTTTTCCAACAAAATACAGAGGATACAAAGAAATGTGAATGCTTTTTGCAACACATACAACACAAATCATGCAGTTAAGTCGAGTTCTGGAGGAATTGCATATTGTGGAAGCAGAAGAGCAGGGAGCAGGAGGCACTCCATTTCTTTCTGCAGCCACGGGCTGAAAGTGGTCAGTCTCCTCCCTGGGACTCCACAGATAGTGGAGAAAGAGCATAGTCTTAGGAGTCCCTCAGACCTGGATTGAAATCCTGGCCCTAGTGTTCATTAGCTTAGAACCTCAGATTTCTCACCTACAACATGGGGATAATAGTACCTAAGGTAGGTGCTGGGCTAGGATTGTCACAGGAATAGTGCTTTGGTACAGTGCCCTTGCATGCAAGAGATGCTCAGTAAATATCCCGAAGCCTTGGAGACCTGAGGGCAGAGAAGTCGGCCTGCCTCTACCCAGTGCCCATGAGGAGCATCAGGCAGGGTATTCAGGGAAACTGTTGAGGGAAGGTTTCTGACGCTGAGGTGGGACATGTTCACAAGGGCCAAGAACAGAGCAAGGTACCAAAGAGGCGACTTCAGAGAGTAATCTATGTGGAAGGGACTGTGATATTGCTTTCTGCAGAGTTCATATCTTGCCTCTGTTTTTCCTATTCTCACTCTTTATTCCTCATCCTTTCCCAAAAGAGTAATTCCTGGAAGGACATTCTCTAGCATCCTTGAGCCACTCATTTGCATTCCATGGCCCTTGATGCCAGAGGCTTCTTGTCAGAGCCTGGGCTTGTCCCGTCCCTGCTCAGTGTGGACTACAACATGTGGTCCCCATCCTCTCACCAGCCCTTGGGTAAAAGCCCTTTAAATATTTGAAGAAAGTTATTCAATATCTCTTTTTTCAGGCTGAATCAATCAAATCCCTTAACCTTTCAGAAGGGATATTTTAGAAATCTTAACTCATCTTTGCACACTCTTCTGGACTTTTTTCAAGTTGCACACACAGACATGATCAAACCAGCTTTGCTTGGTTCTGAAATAATAACACGTGTGTAGAGCGCTTAGCTTTACCAAGTGCCCGGCAGTATTACCTCCATGGGGGAGATGGTGAAATTGAGAGGTCAGATGATGTGCTCCAGGCCAAAAGGTTGATTTTGAGGCTCTGCTGGGTCCAGACCCCAGACCACAATCCAGATCCTGCTTCCAATCATGGCCCCAGTAATGAGTTTGCCACATGGCAGTGATTCCATCCCTCGCCCGATCTTTTTATTTTAGTTCTTTTCTTCAGAAAGCTTTTATAGAAATGTAAAGCCAAGGTTCTTAGTTTTGAGTCCAAAGGTGACCCAGAGAGTCTCTTTCACAATTAAGTGGATCTCTTTTCCACTGTGTTAGAAATAAGAGCTCTCTTGGTCCGAGCTCAAGGTTGGATCCTTCTCAGGTTGTCTGTAATGTGGATCCATAGCTAAGTCTTGGTCTGAAACTAGACCAGACTCAAATCCCAGCAGGTTAGTCATCTTTCCTGCTGACCTGCCCTCCTTGTTAGAGACGTTAGTTTTTGTACTTGAAGACTCTGCATCCATAGCAGGCATTAGAGCGGTACCTCCAGGGCTGAAATCGAAGTGAAAGGGGTTTTCTCTTGAAACTCTGTGTTAGCCAGTAAGCAGGATACATATCGATAGGTTCTCTCAGATTTGAGTCCCACTGGAGCTTCAGTTCATAAGAATTCTACCTCTTTCCTTCTAAATTCTACATTAATAATCCAATGTCCTAGTTAGTTGAGAATTAAAAAGAACCATTCATTCATATGACCAAGAGTTACTAATGCATTGTTTTTTTTCCTTTTTTGAGATGGAGTCTTGTTCTGTTGCCCAGGCTGGAGTGTAGTGGCACAATCTTGGCTCACTGCAACCTCCGCCTCCTGGGTTCAAGTGATTCTCCTGCCTCAGCCTCCAGAGTAGCCAGGGCTACAGGTGGACACCACCACACTTGGCTAATTTTTGTATTTTTAGTAGAGATGGGGTTTTGCCATGTTGACCAGGCTGGTCTCGAACTCCTGACTTCATGTGATCCACCAACCTTGGCCTTCCAAAGTGCTGGGATTACAGGCATGAGCCATCGTGTCCGGCCTACCAATGCATTTCAACAAATGTGCCCAGCTTAGTGGCTGTGCTGAATTTGGGGAATGGACAGTGGAGAGGGAAGTAGAAAATGGGAGACTGCATTCACAAGAAGTGTAAAAACCCTTTGCCTTCAAGGAGTTTGCAATTCAGTTAGGCATCCAAGACTTGCAGGGTGAAAGTATTAGAGAATAATGCGAGGCATTATGTTTGATTAGGTGTTACCAAGAGTTCTCCAGAAAGAGTAAGTCAGGACCTGAATAACCCAGGAAAACTTAAAAGAGGCAAGGCTTGGGATGGAAAGGAAAAGATAGGCAGGCTGGATTGGCAGGGAAGAAGTGGAGAGACCGTTGTTAGCAGAAGGAATGTGTCATCATTATCAAAGACAGCTTTGAAGCTCTTATTTTTGGAGATGGCTGGATAGACAGGGTAAGTTAAATAGATGCAGCGTGAGCTCTCTAGGAGCATCCAAGCAAAGGCAGTCATCATTGTTGCAGGCAGAAATTTTCATGCTACGCAAACAAGAAAATGAAATGCCTTAAATGATTAAACTATGTTTGAAGATTGAAGGCAGTTTTTTTTCTGGGTGTGATTTCTGGGTCCAGTCTCTCTCTCACCATGACCTACAATGGGAAAGAGTATTCTAGGTCAAGTTTGGTCAAGTCTGGGACACTGGGCAGAGCACATGTTATAACTATGACACTGAGGCGTTTACAAAATAAAGCCCAGCTGCCGGCATCCCATCGTGGTCTTTGTGGTCTTTTTTCTCACTTAGCAACTTCATAGAGCCCCATAGCAATCACTCTACCATCCTCAGCATTCTCTTCCTCTCCAGCCTTTCGAAGGTGCCCCAAAATCAAGCCCAGATACTCCCACGTTTTCTCTTTTCAAGTTCTGTTCAGTCTTTAGTAAGAAATGTCACTTCAGAGGTTAAGGAGAGCCTCCAGCTTCCCAAATAGGGGGCCTCAAAGCCAGATACCAGCTCCAAGGTGCTGATCAGGCTCCCTCGCATGTCATGCCTTAGGCAATGAGATCCCGATTCTGTTTACCACACAGACTCCCTAGACATGCGTGGACGTGTCAGATCCCCTAGCAGTGCATGGAGTCCAGAAAACAACAAAATAACAAAATCCAGATGTTCGACAACATTGATCTTACAATACGCACCCCACATTACCACACCCCACCCCGGCATAACTTCTTGCTGTGGCTGATTCTCAGACCCTAGGAGCAAGCCCCTGTGTCTTAGGACTTTTGGCTCTGTTTTTGGTTCTAATGGAATAAATGTTTGTTCTTAGAAGTGACTATATGCACCAGATGAGACAAAGGGGATCAGCTGGAAAACAGTGAGCACCAAGCCCCCATCAAGAAGTTTATAATGTCACAAAGAGACATCGCTAAGATGCTTGATGAGACATAAGCCAAGAAACCCTCATTTCCTTCCAAATAGCCTCTAGATGCACAGCAGTTCCTCTGAAATGAATCATCCATGGTTAACACCAGCAAATGCCAACCATTAGCAGATGAGAAACAGAACTGAATCCTGAGTGTTTGGAAAGCAGAGCTCTTTTGATCACTACTGGAGCCTCCTTCCCCTCTGCCATTACGGGAGCATAGCTATGTATTTCCTTTTGACTTGTGTGTCTTCTTACTAATAAAGAAATAGAAGGAGGAACAGTCATGTTGAAGAAACAAGCTTATAGGAAAGGTGGGTTCCTAATAGATGCTTGCTCAAGAAGTGGGTCCCACATGACCTCTAGTTCTATGTTTGTTGTCTTGCTATGTATCGTTTCTGTGTCCCATAAAGAAGATTGTTTCCGGAAATTCCTGTTTGAGCTCAGATCATACTGGCTCAAAATGGCCTCTAATTTAATTATTTATTGTTGTTGATGTCCTCATGATTTGGCTTAACAGAAAGGGTATTTCCATTCATTTAGCCTAATTTAGAATTGTTTGTCTTTCAGGACCAATTACTTTATTCTTTTATCCAGTTGAAAATGGCCAGTGCTAACAGATTTATTGATTTTCCTTATTACCTGGCTTTGTTGAAACATGCACGTTTTCACAATCAAGTGCATTCACCATCTTTAATCGAGCTGTTGACACTGGGGCTTTTATCTTCCTCCTTTATTTAAACCTTTGGTGTGAGCTCCTAGGGGTCAGGGTTGGGGTGTACATGTGCCCACGTGCACACAGGTGAGAATGAATGTCTCTGAATCACCTATTCTGTGTCCCCCTCATCCTCAGTTTCTTCAGTTGGAAGCATTATTTATTTGCTTATCTAATATATACAAGGTCCTGGAGATGTATTGCTAATGAGCACAGTGCCTGCTGTCAGGAAGCTCATGCTCTGATGGAAGGAGGCAAGCAATAGACCAGTAAGCACAACGTGTGTTTTAGCTGTTGGGTAGCTACTGGTAGGGCAGGATGCTGTGGGACCACTGAGGGGCCTCCCTTCTATTTGAGGGCTCTGCTGTGAGTAGGCAGTCTGTAAATGACAGCCACAAACACTTCCACGTGATCGCTCATCCACACGGCAACCCTGAAATGCAGGTACTACCAGTTATCCTCTTTCCTTGGTTGAGGAAATAGTGCCACTACCCACTGAAGATTCATTTGAACAGGCAATAAAGAGGGACTAGGACTTGATTGACCAAAACTTGAACTTTTCAGGAAGACATGTGAGTATCCATTCACTCATTCAACATATGGCTGTTGGGCATTTTCTGTATACTAGTTACATTCTCAGGACTGGGGACACAGAAGTGAATAATAGAAACAGAAATTCCTGCCCTCATTGGGCTTACATTCAAGTAGATATGCTTGTGTGTGTTTGGGAGGGGTATGTGTATGTCTGTGTGTGTGTCTGTAGGCTTCTTCACAAGGATACATAACACACTGAGAACAAATGGCTGTCTCTGGGGAGAGGAAAGGGAAAATTTGGAAAGGAGGAGACATTTCTTGTCAAGCCTATTATTTTGTTTTGTTTTCCCATGTATGTGCATGAGCTATTAATATTTTTTTAATTACTTAGAAATTTTGAAAAAAAAAAAAAAAAAAAAAAAAGAATTATACAGAAATGTGACCATTCCCAGAAGAGTGACTCACTAAATCCATAGGACACCATGTCTAAGGACAGGGAACTCCACGGATAATGTTCTCCATTCATTTATTGCTTGACAGACACCTCTAATGTATAAAGGGATATGCTGAAATTTGGGATTCCCTTGGGCTTTACCTGTCACTGAGGACTGCCATGGAGAGGCAGGTGAGCCAGGTGGCCTGGGCTCCCACAGAGTGGGTGATGCAAGACCCCCTCAGAACAGTAACTCCAGGAGCCACTTGCCTCTGTCTGCCAGCCCTGCCTGCATCTTACTGAACAGACAATCCCACTGTGGCATTTCTGATGGCAGCATTTTCCAGCATTTAGCATCTGCTGGTACTTGTCCCAAACTTGGTCATCTCCCCAGAGTGCTTTCATTAGCTCTGCCCTTCTACCCAGCTAAGTAGGGCAAGCCAGCTGCCGATGGGTCATACCTACTTTCCAGGCATTCAAGTTTGTGTGTCTCATGACATTGAAAATAATGGTGATGTTTAGTTAAAAGGGAGATATGTTCTCTCCAACAAAAACACGTGACCTCCACTATTAGCCAAGTGTGAATTTGTTTCAAACTGTTTAAAAAAGTTAACTCAAGGGAAGTTAAATTTACTTTCAGGTATATCCATGTGTTATTGGAATCTGCATTTTTGTTCCTGCTTCATAATTAGTTAATTACTTGATTGACCGATTCATTCAACAGATGTATACTGAGAGTCTATTGCCTGCCCAGGCATCGTGCTAAGAGCTAAAGAAGCAAAGGTGAAAAAGACACAGGTCTTGCCCTCTAGGAGCTCCTCCAGCCAGGAGATGTCTGACAAGTCATTTAGTCTACTTGGGGCCCACTGGACTGCCCTGTACACAGAGAGAGGTGGCTCTAAGGGCTTCTTCTAGTTCTATAGTTCTGAGTCAAAACCAAGAGAGGTTTGCATACAGCTGGGCACCTGAAAGGGGGAAGTGGGAGATAATAAAAATGTTCCAGCCAGATCTCTAGGCAGAAATTATTTTATTTAAGCCTAAATGGATCTGCCAGCTAGGTTTTATCATCCCTTTTTACATGTTGGAAAAATGAGGCTTAAAGAGCTTAAGAATGTGAATTACCTGGGATCCTGTGAAAATGCAGATTCTGACTCAGGGGGCCCAGGATGGGTGCTGAGATTCTGCATTGCTAACCAGTTCCCAGGAGAGGCCCTGCTGCTGATCCCTGAACCACACTAGGAGTAGCGGGATACTGTAAGCCTTGAGATCTTCCACCTCTGAACCACGCCAGCAGGCTCCAATTCCTACTTGATGGAAAATGAACAGGGAAATGTGAAGATTTTTTCTCTTCCTCAAGTCCCAATCATTTAGTCCTTCTCAAAATCGATACCTTTGAATCCTTTCTGTTTAGAATGTTCTCTCTCCCCATTCTCCTTGCTTCTGGGGAAAGGGGTTGAGAAGGCATCAGTGTTGTTTGGGAGCTGGGAAATGCCAGGCCTTGGTTTTTTCATTCTGGCTTTCATAGTTTGCAGAAGGTCAAAATGGACACAACATCAGTGTTCTTCCAAGATGGGAACAAGAAACAATTATACCAGGAAAACAAAGCACTAAGTAACGCTTTTAAAAGCAACCAGTCGAAATATTGAATTTTTTTGTTTTTGTGTTTGTTTTTCTATAAATATCCTGAAGTATTGAGTGGTGCCTGAATTTGATCCCATTGTGCTAATTTTCTCCGGGCTTTAATTAAAATAACTCACCCAGGGACCTTGCTAGAGCTTACCTCTATGTGATCCCCCCGAGGTAGGCAGGTCACACCTGCTTTCTATGGAAGGGGAAATGCAGAGCATCCTCGATTAGGTGCTGCGTGTGCAGTAGGGGCATAATTTTTACTTGCTGTATAAATGAATGCATGACTAAATGAAAACAGGAAAAACTGTCACTTTCAGAGGAAACTATTGAAATAAACAAGGTGTTTGGACTGACTTTGCTTTGGATAATCGGTTGTTTCATATTCTACTATACAATCAATTTCACGAGTGGGCATGGATATGAATGTTTAAGCTTTCTGTACCAGATACTTATTAGGGACTTTCCATGGCCACTCAGGGCCTGCATGCACATCAAGTCCCAAGTTATAAAACCCTGTCCCCTCCCTGTTTATTTAGCTACTTCTTTATTCTCAAGTTTGCCACCTCCTGGGAGCATTCCCACACACTGGCCCACCCCACCATCATCCCCTGGTTCATGACACTGGATTTGCCCCCATGCTTCTCTTTGTCTTTCTATACAACCGTGTGCTCACATATTTGTATTGTATCTATAATTGAAGTCCAGGTTGTGCCCTGCTTACCCCATCTAAGGGCACAAGCCATTCAAGGCAGAGGTTCCTGTACTGGACTCCAGAGCTGAGAGCTGGCTGGGTGCAGTGTGGCTCCCTGCTGGCTTTGTGATGTGGCAGTGCTGAGCCAGGAGCACCATCCTACCATTCTGACTACACAAAACAAGTCTGGGGACAAGGACTGTCTCTACATGAGTCCTCTTGGTCCAGTGGGGAACCAGACCTAGAGACAGACCACCAAAAGCCAGTGTGAAACAGGTTACCACAGAGAGGCGCAGATGATGTCTATGGGGGTCTTGCTTATTCCAGGGCCTCAATAGCACTGGGCAGAAGGCCCCCAACTCATTATGCTGAATTAGCATTAGGTGGCTTTATAATGACATACAGTGGGAGGAATCCTTGTATTGAAACAGGAAGCTTGGATTCTATTCCTGGCTGCTACTAACCAGGCTATTGAAGGTAAACAAATCGTTGGGTATTCCTGACTTTCAACAGGATAGCAAGGGGAGCATTAAGATGCCATGATTCAGCCAATGCTCAGAATTTTGAATTCTCAGATTGAAGACTTTCTGAATACAGGGGTGAGTCCATGAGCAAGTTTCCTAATCTCTCTTTACACTCACCACCAGAGAGCCAGACCCAGTTACTCTTGGCCAAAGAACAGGAGCCTTAATATTAATAGTAGATGAGACCTGGTAGGTGTCTTAGAAACGTAAAGTGTGGCCAAGTGGAATAGAAAGAGAACTTATTCTGTGGCTCCTCTGGCAGCTTTGGGATGACAAGGGTTACGGGAGTTATAGGGAGGCAGGTTTAAGCTTAGTTTAATGTATGGAAAAAGCCTCCAATAAGCAGAGCTCACCAGTAGTTCAATACACTTGAAGTAGGGAGCTCTCCATCTCTGGAGGTATTCAAGGAGAGACCAAAGGAGCATTTTGAAATATCGTAGAACAAATTCATATATTAGCTGGAGGGCTGTATTGGATAATTACAGTTCTTTTTCTGGTTTTGATGAACCAGTGTTTCCACTGGTTCTATTACAAGACTATTCTTCTAATGGTCTTTTGAAGATCTGAATGTAAGAAATAACTTCCATAAATATATACAAGTGGAGTCTAGGAAGGCAATGTTTATTTTATTTTTAAAAATCAAAGGCTTACACTGTAAGAAGGTAGAGAAAAAGAGTGTATGAAATAAAGAGAAAAGGGAAGAAGTTGGACAGTAGCAGGCATTTACAGAACAGTTAAAAATCTTGAAAATTTAGGCAAAAATCGAAATATTAAAATTTGAACCTCATTCCCAAAGAACTAGGGAAGCTCCCTATTTAAATGAACCCCAAATTTTGTGAACCCTTCCTAAGAAGAGATTTTACAAGTGAAAAAGTCTGTAACATCAGGATTTGCTGCTTATTGTCTCTCTCGTGTGGCTGCACATGTGGAGTTTGTTAAAATGCAGTGCATTGGTGTGTATTTGGGAACAGATCCATCTGGGAGAAAGGGAAATGGCAACAAAAGCCCTTGATTTTAGGGGAAGCATCCTTTCATCGTGCTTGCTTCGTGTATCCTGAGAAGTAAAGATTTTCTCCTTAGACTTAGGAGAGTATTGTCTGGAAGCCAGAGGAGTGGAAAGAGACTGGGGTTTTTCTTTCAGAAGAATTTAGCTTCCTAACTTGAGAAGGCATTTTGTTTTAGGTAGAAGGCTTCTCACTGCAGTGGGTGACATATTATTATAAATGGGCTGTACACAATGATTTGCTCCTGTGAGGTGGGGCACAGTAAGCCTGCTGACCGCTGCCCCTAACACTGACCTACCTTCTTTTGCTTGAGATTTTGCCTTCAGGGCTTTCACGATGATGGTGGTTTAAAGTCTCCATGTGCATTAAAAGGCCAACCCTCCCTTCCTCAACAAACAAAAACAAAACTCTTATAGAAAGATGGAATCCTCAGCCTTTATTTCTTTCTTTAAAAAAATTTTTAAAAGTCTATAATTGATATGTAATAATTGTACATATTTCTGGGATACAATATATTGTGTATATTTCAAGGTAAGTGTACATAGTATAGTGACCACATCAAGGTAATTGTCATATCCCCCTCTCTAAGCATTTATCCTTTATTTCTTTCTTTCCTTCTTTCTTTCTTTCTTTCTCTCTCTCTCTTTCTTTCTTTCTTTTTTCTTTCTTTCTTCCCTTCCTTCCTTCCTTCCTTCCTTCCTTCCTTCCTTCCTTCCTTCCTTCCTTCCTTCCTTCCCTCTTTCAGTCTCCCTCTGTTGCCCAGGCTGGAGTGCAGTGGCACAGTCACTGCTCACTGAGGCCTCTGCCTCCCAGGTTCAAGTCAGTCTCGTGCCTCAGCCTCCCAAGTAGCTGGGATTACCGGTACCTGCCACTGGCTAACTTTTGTATTTTTGGTAGAGATGGGTTTTCACTATGTTGGTTTCAGGCTGGTCTTGAACTCCTGACCTCAAGTGATCCACCTACGTTGGCCTCCCAAAGTGCTGGGATTAAGGCATGAGCCACGCACCCGGCCCATTTACCATTTATTCCTATTAATAGCATTCAGAGTCTTCTCTTCTAGCTTTCTTGATATATACAACACATTATTATTTGCTATAGTCACCCTACTGTATAATAGAACAGAAACACTTAGTCTTCCTGTCTAACTGTAACTTTGTATCCATTGACCAACCTCTCTCCATCCCCCTGCCTTCTATTTTCCCTAGCATCTGATAGCCACTATTTTACTCTCTACTTCTATGAGACCAACTTTTTTAGATTCCACCTGTGAGTGAGATCACGCAGTGTTTGTCTTTCTGTGCCTGGCTTATTTCACTTAACATAATGTGCTCCAGGTTCATCCATGTTGCTGCAAGTGATAGGATTTCATTCTGTTTTATGGCTGAATAATATTCCATTGTGCTGAGGTACCACATTTTCTTTATCCATTCATCGTCAGATGGGAATGTAGGTTGATTCCATATCTTGGCTCTCGTGAATAGTGCTGCAGTAAACACGAGTGTGCAGATGTCTCTTTGACACTGGACTTCATTTCTTTTGGATATATACCCAGCAGTGGGATTGCTGGATCATATGGTAGTTCTATTTTGATTTTGTGAGGAACTTATGTACTGCTTTCTGTAGTGGCTATACTAATAAAGGATCAACAGCTAGGTTTGTAGGCAGCTGATTCCCTAAGTTGCACGTGATACTTTCTAAAAATGCTTCTGGAAGTCAAAGGAGTGAAAGTTGAATAATTCAGTTGAACATTATCATGGAGGATTACATTGCCAGAAAACTAACATGCATTATAAAATCCCCTCACTATGTCTTATCGTTCAGAAGCAATTTCTGGTATTTCCAGCAGTTTGTTCTTTAAAAGAGTTTTTAAAAAATGTTCACATGATCATCTGGGCAGCCTGTCAACCTGCTTAATTCTGGGTGGGCCCAGCTGAGGCTAAAGCTTTGGTGACGTGCTCCCTTAGCTTCTGTTCTCTGAAACAGATCTATCGCTCTCATCACAAGGGCCAATGTTTTATTTTTTTTCTTATTTATTGTTTTGATTGATTGATTTGTTTGTTTATTTATTTATTGTAGAGATTAGGTCTCGCTATGTTGCCCATACTGGTCTCAAACTCCTGAGCTCAAGCGATCTGGCCGCCTTGTCCTCCCAAAGTGCTGGGATTACAGGCATGAGCCACCACACCCAGCATTTTGATTTTTTTTTAAAAGGGTAGGAGGAAATTAAATATTCAAATAATTGTACAAACTCTTTAGGATCTAAGCTCTATCAGGGCAGGGACTATGTTGATTTTCATCTCTGCTGTACCTTCATGACCTAAAGCAGTGCCAGGATGCAGAGGTCCTTAGGAAATACTTGTTAAATGAATGAGAGAATGGCTGTTGTAAATAGTGCCAGGTACAAATGGCGAAGCTGCGGAGGTGGCTGAGTTGCTTGGCTGGCAGAAAGCATCCTGTGACATGTGACTGCCAGCTGACGGCTGAGCGTCCACGTATGGCCTATGTGCTGTTTGAAGGCTGAAGGGATGAAAGTCAAGAACTGCCTGTAATAGGTGGGTTTGGGTCACCAGGGTCATTGGCAGAGCGGCTGGAGCTTGGAAGACAGACTTCACCTGCTTAATTACAGATGCTGCTGAGGCCACTCAACCTCTCCCTGACTGTAATGATGGCCCTTCTAGCCACGACACTGCCAGGCCAACTAGAAACACCTGGCTCTGCCTGGAGATGAACCTATTTTGCTTTTATTTTTAATTTTTTTAAACATAAATCAAACGAGTGTCCTTTGGATTTAACGTTCTCTTCCTGTGCTGCACGAGGCCTTCATCAGGCTTCTTTGCCTTAGAAAAGAAATGATGGGGTGTTTTTTTTTTGACTTCAGAAAAAAATATCCTCTGTGATTTGTTTTCCTTGAATCAGTCTGTCTTTGGGGCTTAATTTAAATCAGCCTCCCTCCCTCCCTTCCGCTATTTTTATTCTGAACTTTTTCCCCAATGGGGGAAAAATTGTAAATATCTTGATTTTTGAATTAATTATGTTCTTGCCTTTCTTTATGATGCGGCGGCTTATACCTGTAACCTCAGCTCTTTAGGAAGCCAAGGTGGGCAGATCACTTGAGGCCAGGAGCTTGAGACCAGCCTGGCCAACATGGTGAAACCCCACCTTTACTAAAAATACAGAAATTAGCCGGGCATAGTGGCAGGTGTCTGTAATCTCAGCTACTCAGGAGGCTGAGGCGGGGAAATCACTCGAACCCAGGAGGCAGAGGCTACAGTGAGCTGAGATCATGCCACTGCACTCTAGCTTGGGCAGCAGAGTAAGACTCCCTCCCTAAATAAATAAATAAAATAATATCCTATATAAATTATTTGTGTTTCACTCAGCATTATACTTTTGAGGTTCATCCATATTGATGTGTATATGGCTGCAAGTCATTCATTTTTTATTGCTGTATATTATTCAATTATATTAATATATCAAAATTAATTTATCCATTCTTCTATTTCTAGACATCGGGATTACTTTCAGGTTTTTTCAATTAAGGACAATACTATATTTTGGGGTGCACTTGTATCTATAGTTTCTCT